GTGCTTCCCGACACCACTAGGTGCCTCCCGGCCTTTGCACAGCTGGGAGAGGCTCGCTGCTCCCCCGGGCTGTTCATCAGCAGGGCACAGCTCAGGATTTCGGGTTATTTTGGACGTGGCACCGCTGTAGTTTTGCAGGGTTTGACCCTAAGCTGGGGAAACGTGCAGTGTTTTAGGCAGGGGGCATTGAGTGTGTAAGGAGGCTGAGCTGGGGGTGTACATGGATTTTATGGGATGTAAACTCCACGCTCCGAGGGTCCCTGTGTGCCTGGCTCTGTCACTGCTGTCACACTGCCTGTGCTCCGAGTGATTTTTGTGTTTGCTCTGTTTGTTCCTGGCTCAGAGGGATTAGGTTTGGGGCTGACAAAAATTAATCATCATCGAGTTTCTGGGGTGGGGGAGCATCTGCCTGTTGCCAGTTGTTGTGGCAAGAGCAGGTCGAGGTGGTGACAGGGCAGGGATGGTGGTGATGAGTGTCACCTCTCCAGCTGTCACCCCTCTGCTGGGACCAGCTTTGGGCAGGACTGAGGAAAAGACCAGTACAGGACAAAACCCTCTGTGGTAGCTTTAAATGTGAAAAAAGAGAAATGGCAAATCCTCGTCATTAATCTCACTGTGACATTTTTGCCCCTCCAAGCCCTGGTGTCCAAACCTGGACTCATGGAGCTCTCACCTGAGAGTCCACTGGTCCTTCTGGCTGAAAACCAGCACCAAACTGCTTTTCCCACTGCACCAGCACAAAGATGCCTCTGGCTCTGTGACAGAAACATTTAAAATATCTGATTCTGGGTTTTTTTTGTTGCTGTTTTTCTTCCCCCCCCACAATTTCTCCTGGGTACACCATGTCCTGCCCAGAGCCTCACGTTGGAACCCCAGGCGGTGGCAGAGTTGAACGTGTTCACATCTTTCACCCTCCACTTTTTTGCTGCTCTGTTTTACCAGGCCAGCCAGCTTTTTGACAGCCATCCACAGTTTTATTAGTGCAGAAACCAAAATCCCACCTCTTTTGGCTTGCAAACAACCTCCTGATTGATGCCTGGGAGCAGAATAAATTCGTGTGTGTCTGCTGGGCCCTGAGCGAGCCCGGCTCAGAAGAAAAGAAAAACAGAGATTTTGGAAATGTCTGAGACTTCTAAGGACATAAAAAATAATATTTAACAAATAAATAAATTGAAAAGCTTCTTGCTGCTTTACCTTTGGGCTCCAGGGTGTCCTTGGTTCCAGCCTGGGGGAAATGGGATGCAGATAAGGAAATCAGGAGATCAGCAGGGCCTGGGGCGGAAAGCACTGGAAAATGAACCAGGTGCCTCCTGGCTTCTGTAAAATCCAGCTTTAATTGCTGTTTTCACAAAGCTGCAGGGCTGAATCAGGCCTGGGTTGGCCAGCAGTGGTCAGTGTGGGAGCACAGCAGTGCCCAGTCCCATGCCAGTGCTGACCAGTCCAGCTGCTGGAAGAGGGACCAGCCTTTGGGGCCCTGAAACAGAACAAAAAAAAGCTTTGTTTGCTGGGCTTTGTCCTTTTTCTTTCTTAAATAGTGAATGTTTCTTTGCTCTCCCTTTGCCAAACAATAAATTCCCTTAAATTTTGAGGCTGGAGACTTTTCAAACTTTCCTGTTGCACTTGAGGCGTTTTCCAGAGGTCCATTATTTTCACACAGAGTATCACTCCTCCTGAAACTCTTCCCATTTGTAATCTCTTTATTTGAGCCCTGCAAATTGCCAGTCACTTTTAAAGAGTGATATTGGTATAGGGCTCTCTCCTTTTATATATTGCTTTGATGAAAGAGATGGTGTCAGGAGTGGAAAATGAGTGGAGGCAGAGGAGCGAAATGGGAGAAATAAAGGGAAGGAGTTGGAAAAGGGAGCAAAGAAATCGATTTAATGCATTTTTTTTTGCACCCATATATTTCTTGAGGATGATTATGTTTCGCTGGAAAACATCCCCTTCATTCAGAGTGTTAATATTTAATTAGTTGCTGATCATTAAGTGCTTATTGTGGCTTTCTGATTTGGCCAGGAAACACCGTAAATGCTGCTGGGAACAGAAGTAGGTTAACAGGGCAGGTATTTTTGTGCCTCTGTGCCTCTTCTTCCTTGCCCCCAAACTTCCAAGGAAACTCCTTGCTGTGTCTTCTTAGAGAGATGCAAAGGCCACGGGAACGTCATCCCAAAATCCCAAATGAGAGTCTGGGAAGCAGCAAATCCTCAGTGAAGGGCTCAGCCTTTCTGCCCTAACGTAGCATTTGTGAGTGTGAAGTGCTGAAAACTCATTTTCATCGTTTGGGCATGTGATATAAAGCCTCAGGATCTGAAATATTACAGTCACCATGGTTACCAGTGACTTATCTGAGGGAGTTTGACTTTTGTTTTGATTTTAAGTGTCTTAATTGTAGTTTAAAAATCAGAATCTAAATGTGTTTTTTTTTACTTAGGCATGAAACTAAAGGCATTAAATGATTTGCATTATTAAAATATCTATAATGCTGCCTGTCAAAGGTTCCTAAAGAAGGTCCTTAATATTCATACCTTATGTTCTAAATAAAGTTACTCTCCAGCTTTATGGGAGTTCTGCTTCTCTCACCACAAAAAATCCCTTGCAGGTGCCTCGCTGGCTATTTTGCAATCCCAGCCCTTTTTGTTTCGCCTTGGAAAAGCTGTGCCACTCCATACCTGGTGCTTTTCCACACATTCTGCTGCTTTTCCTCCTTCCCCTGCTGTCCCCCCGCCGTTCCCTGCGGGGTCCCACCTCTGGAGCTGGCGTTTACGGGAGAGTTTGGCTGTTGGAAGTTTGCCCTGCTCAGGAATCCTGCCAAACCCCCTCGAGTTTCTCCTGGATGAAAAATTACCCAGCACCACCTGCCCAAAAAGTGGGAAAATGTGGGGATGCTGAGCTGGGCTGGAGAGCACCGAGCTGCCCCTCCTTCCATGTTGTAAAAGAAGAGGAGGAACACGACAGGCAGCGGCGCAGCCAAAGATTTTTCTCCCTTAATTCAATCACTAAAATGTTACAATCTGTCCTGCTCTAATTCTCTCCACTTGTACTTGTGCAGTGGTTGCAAACATGCTGAAATATGAACTCATGCTTGGTAAGCCTTTAATTCCAGCTTTGATGTTTTTAATCATCAGTACAGATTTGGTAAAAATGATTCATTAGCTCGAAACGCATCTTGGATTCCACGTGACGCCGTGGGGAACGGAGGAGGCAGCGCCAGGGGCCGCTTGTTCTTGGGATGTTCTTTGTGCTTGAGCTGAGTCTTGAAGTGTGGCCCTCGACATCTCAGCTTCAGAGGCCTCTGGGGTGTCCAGGTGTCCTTCTGCATCTGGTTTTGGTCAAAACCCGAGCGTTCCTTGCTGGGAAACGTGTGAGCAGAGCCGAGCTCAGTGAGCGCGGGCGAGGGCTCCTCTCTGGGTGCAGCAGCAGGAGGATTTCTGGCCCTGTTTGCCTTCCCTGCCTGGAACCACTCCCTTAACCCTCTCTGGGACACCTCCTCGCCCTCCCCGAGCCCCGGGGTTCAGCTCGGGGCCGGTTCCCCACGCCAGCTCTGTCCCGCGGTGACCGCAGAGGATTGGAAGCAATCTGGCTTCAGGGCAGCGGCTGGAGACAAATCCTCAATCCCATTACTTGTTCCCTGGCTGGAACTGGGCTGCCGGGGATGTCAGCAGAGCCTCTGAGGCTGCTGCCCAAAAGGCATCGCCCTCCTGGCGTGGCTGTGGGATTCCAGCTGCCCCCGCCGTGCGTGCCACGGACATAAGGATCCCTTTCAGGGCTGTTTCCGTGTGGAAAGTGGGAATGCTGCTCCTGCAGAGCCGCCCTGGTGCCAGCACAGCCACGCCAGAGGCCCTGCTGCTGGCAGGCTGGTGGCATCGCGCCGTGGGACGATGCTGTGGCTGTCCTTTTTGTGTCCTGCCCTTTGGAAATCCGGGTGCAGCCCCACGCCCGGCCCTGCTCCAAGCCCAGCTGCTGAGGGACTCTCTGACCACAGGAACCCCCGTGAAACTCCAAGATGAACATCCCCAGGAAAATTCCAGAAGCTCTCCAGCCCTGCCTCCCAAGGAAAGGGAAGGAGTGGAATAAACACTTTCTCCCTCTTCTGCTGAAAGGCTTTTATCTCCCGGGGCTGTTCTGAGCTGCGAGGAGGAGACAAAACTCTTCCCAAGTTTTGTCTTCCAGGCTGTTCCTGCTGTAACAAATTGTTAAGCAACAAGTACACGGCATTTGGAGATCTGGGATGAGATAGCGACAGCCTCACAAAGGCGCTCTCACATGTTCAAGGCTTCCTTTTGTGCTCCGGGGTTTTATATATTTATTTTTCACTCTCTAGCATCCCACTGCTGCTCCTCTTCTTCCTTCATTCCCAGTGCTGGAGTGGGAGCCAAGGCCGTGGGTTCAGGCGTGCTCCCGTGTCCAGCCACGCCTGCTCTTATCACAAATCCCTTTTTTCTCCCGCAGAGCAAACACTGCTTGGTGCTGTTCTCACACCTCTCCTCCTCCCACTTTGTTTTCCATAAATCCCTTACTTGATTTCTCATGCTTTGTGTGGATTTTGTTTTCTTTCCAGCTTTTTTTTTTCTCCTTAAAATCCTTTTGGGTTTTTTTGCTGGACATTAGCAATGCTTTTATTTTGTTTTACTTTTATTTTTTTTCCTCTTTCAGGGTATTGTGAAATCACTGGATCCTTTTAGTCTATCCCTGTAAATAGACAAAGGAACCAGAACACGGAGTTTTTCCTGGAGTAGCTGTTCCATTACCTGTTGAAATTAATCCCACACCCAAACACCTTTATTCCACACAGATGGGCCAACCCGCCCCGAGCTAATCCTGTAAAAGTGAATTGAGGAAAAGGGAAAAAAAGGGAATATTTGTGCAGGTGTTGGTTGAACCTGTGCTACTTGTGGATCCAGGGACAGCATTCCCATGGGGGTGAACCCGAGGCTGGGAAGAGGAATGTTTGAAATCAGTACCAAATAAAAACCATAATAAATAAAAAAAAAAAAATAAAAACTGAGGAAATTTCCCATGAGGAGACTCCTGGAGGAGATCGAGAGTGATGAAGTCACAACAAACTCGGGAATTTGGGCTCCGCTGGATCTGTCCCTGTGGCTTTGACCTGTCCAGCCTGGAGCTGTGCTTTGCTGGGTGGCTGATGCTGTGTCCAGAGGGAGCATCACTTCTTCCTCCTTCCTCCCCCAGCAAATCCAAGTTCCAGAGAGGAGAGGGAAGGGGTTTGACGTGCTGAGAATCCCTCCAATCTCTTCCCTCTTTTTCCTCAGGAAGAGCCAGAGTGGACGGACATTTCTTGGCTTGCAGAGTGTGGATAAAGGTCCTGTCAGCAGCTGCCTTTTTGCTAATCCTTTTTATTCCAGCGAGGAATACTCCACACTCTGCTCTGAGGCTCTTTAGAGTGCTTTGATTTTAAGGCGGGGATTTCACACCACCCTTCCCCAGCTGAGCACCACCAGCCATCCCTGCAGGAGCTCCCATGGATTTGGAGGCGCATTCCCAGGGCTGAGGAGCTTGCACCAGCCTGCCAAGGTTTGCTTTGTGCATCCCAGCGAGCTCCGGAGCCGCCCTCCGGTGCTCTGATGGACATCCCAGATTTCCCCTAGCTCCCTCTCCCTAAAGCTTGCAGGAAATTGCAACCCGATAGGAGCGAGCTCTGTCCCTTGTCCCTCATTGTTTGAGGATTGTTTACATCCCCTTTTTTTGTTATCCCATCTCCCTGACTCTTCCCTGACCTCGCCGGCTCGTTTGGTCCATTGTGTGTGGCTGTTGTTGTTCCAGGGAGTTCTTAGGGAGGAGGGTTGGAGCAAACCCTGGGATTACTCAACCCAGCCTACTCCTTTTTGGCTCCCTTGCTTTATTCCACCTAAATAATAATAATAATAGTGATAATTCCCTCTAAGTGCAGTCCTAAATGCACTCTCCCACTGTGGATTTGGGAGCAGTTCACGCACCTTCCCAGACTCGGGATAATCTCCTCGGGACTTTTTTGAGGTCACGTTTCCATAAGATTCCTCAAAAACACCGACACCAAGCAGCAGGATGCTCCTGGAAACATCAGCCCCATCCAGAATATCGATCCCTGCCTTTTCTCCGCAGGAGCACACAGGATCTCGATCCCGAAAAAATCGGTCAGAGCTGGATTAAATTTGCAGATGAATTTGGGATTTCCCACGAGCGGGCTCAGGGAGTTTTGCAGTCGGTTCTGGAGTTCTGTGCAGAGCATCCCACAGCCTCGTTGCTCCCCTGGGGCAGGGCTCCTGCTGCTCCCACTGACAAGTGCATCTGAGGGCAGGCAGATCCTGGGATGCTGCTGGGGAACACGTGTGAGAGGCACTGGGAAAAGCGAGGAGATGTTTACGCTGGGAGGGGATGTTGACAGTGCAGCTCAAAAGCTGACGTTATTCAGGGCAGCCAGTGCCGTGCAATATTTTGCTTTTTGCTGCTCTCCTGGGGGTCAGGCAGGAGGGAAGGATCAAATGGGGCTGGCAGGGCTGTCCTGGGCCGGAGCAGGGAGTGCAGCAGCTCAGGCAGGGAAGGTGGTGAGGAGAAGCAGCGACTGTGACTTGGTGGTGTGGCTGAAGTCGAGGTCAGGGTGGACTCTGGGGCAGCTCTGCGTGGGGACACCAACATTCCTTGGAGGTTGTGACCCCAGGAGATGTCACCAATCTGGAACCCCATGTGTCACCGGTGCCAGAGGATATCTGGACAGCCTGGAAGTGTTTTGTGGAGAAGGCAGCTGGAGGTGCTGATGTTCTCTGGGTGGCTGCCGAGGTGGGAATTTGCCTTCCAACTGCTGCCAGTTCCCGTGTGTCCCCATCTCGCTGGGTGGGTATCTGACATTCTGTGTTCGTTTCAAACCAGCCTGTCTCTCTTGTTCTGTTTTTAGCATGGCTGACAAGAACAGCACCCTGAAATGCACGTTCTCTGCTCCTGGCCACAGCACCACGCTGCTGCAGGGACTGGCCTCGCTCCGAGCCCAGGCTCAGCTGCTTGATGTCATCCTCACTATAAATAATGAAGTGTTTCAGGTTCATAAAGTTGTCTTGGCTGCCTGCAGTGACTATTTCAGGTGAGAATCCCATAGGGAAGCAGGCACTTTCACCTTTCCCGTGGGTTTGCTGTCTCCCCGTCCTCCCCCACCCCAACCTCCCCACCACGCCCCAAAAGTCCCACCCCACAGAAGCCTTTGGAGGTTTGGTTTGCTCCACAGACGTCCTGCAGGCAGGTAGAGGTTGAGGATCAGTCCCTCTGCACTCAGGTTTGTTCAGCTACAGCTGCTGGGCCAAGGCAGGAGCCCAAGCTCAGGTTTTGACCCCACCTGGGCAGGTGTTGGTGCTGCTTTTGCTGTTGGAGCCACTTGAGCTGATTTGGAAGCGGCAGTGAGGGCTCCAACATGAGGCATTCCATCCTGCTGTTCTCTTTAACCACCACTGCTCTGTCTGTGGGGCTCCCTGCCCCTGGGCTGAGAGCAGCAAGGTCCCAGCAGGCCTGGGAGAGTTGTCCCAGCTGGTGTGGGCTGAAAACCAAAGCACTGCGAGGAGTTCCTGCAGCCAAATTAAAGCAAAGGGAGACAACTGCAGGGCAGGGAATTCAGTCCTGAGTGAAAGTAGGTGTTTTCATCTATCACAGAATTGTGGTTCAGGTTGGAAAAGATCTCCACCGTCATCAAGTTCAACCTCGTCACCAGCCCAGGGCACTGAGTACCATGTCCAGGAATTCCTTGGCCACCTCTGGGGCTGGGGACTCCAAACTGAGCAGGCACACAATTAATCCTGGAGCTGCTGTCCCCCAGATGCTGATGGCACTGTTTCATTCCTCCCTGCTGGGTGCAGGGCCACTGCCAGGGTGGTTTCACCTCTCTGAGAAGGTTCCTCCTTAGAACTTCAGCGGTGCTTGAGAAGGTTGTCCTGCTGAACAATGGCAGAATAATCCAGTTTTTGAAAACTCTCTGTGTTTTTCTTTTCCTGCGGGAAGGGGGAGGGAAGAGAGTGAAATTGAGGCATTTATATAATCAGCATTTTAGAACCATAACACTTGTGAAGGGGATTGCATTCTAGTTGATGATTTGTCCTCAGCATGGCAACAATAAAGGCTTTCCTCTCCCTGCTCAGTGGTGCAGGAGCACACACGTGGCTGGGTGTCCTCTGGGGCGAGGGAGCAGGGCTGGGACGTGGGATGTGCTGGGATTTCTGCAGGATGCTCTCACCTGCTGCACGGACAAGTAACTGGGAGCAGCGTTCCTGGTCACTGGGTTACAGCAGGCTGAGCTCACGTGCAGATATTTCCTTATTTAGGTCATGTAGGATTTCTTGGGTTTGTGCTGGACGGCAGCAGGTTTTCTAGCCTGGTTTGGACAGGAAACTTGGAACTCCTGTCTTTTGACAGTGTTCCCAAGATATTCCTTTATTCCTGTGTGGATGCAGGGTCTGGTCAGCATTTTTTGGGGCTGACTCACGCCTTGGAGCCGGTGCAGGCAGCTCTGGTGACACCACGGATTTACCTTTCCCATGGAAAAGAGCAGGTGAAAAAAACAGCCCAAAAAGTGCAGTTTTAAGACATTTTGTGTGACATTTCATGGGTTGCTGGGACGGGACGTGTGTGCGGTGGCAGGGAGTGGTGACACTCCACGTCGCCCATGTCACTCCCTGTCACCTGCTCTGACTTTGCCTGAGCCACAACTGCTCTGCCGCTGCTCCTTGAGCACTACGGGGTGCAAACCTCCACCCCCTGGGCAGCAAAACCCTCTGGAAAGGGCTGTAAATGGCCCAAAGGGCCCCAAAGGGCCAAACCCCACAAGTGCAGCCCCGTCCCCATCCCGCCCCCGGCGCTGGGAGCTGCGGCCTCCCAACCCTCGGCGTGGAATGTGCTTCCTGTGGAATTTAGGAACCTCCCAAGGAGGTGATCCAGGGCCTAAGCTCTGCGTGGCCTGGGCGAGTGATGTGCTCGCAGCTGTGCTGTAACTGAGCCTTTTCCCCCCATTTTTGTTTAATTGCCTGTCAGCCCCCTGCTGCAGGGGCTGCGGCTCCCATTTTTCCAGGCCTTGGGAAGGAGCCGTGGAGGGGAGGTTCTGCTGGAAGACCAAAGCTGTTCATGAGATGTGTTGCACCTGCAATTTTTGAGCCATTTCGCAGTTCCCTGCGAGGTAACAGGATAACAGGGCCTAAGGGCCTCGCTGCCAGGAATCCCTGGCCTCCCACCACAGGTGTGTTCCCTCCTTGTGCTCCTAAATCCTAAACCTAAGCCTGAAACCCTTCAGGGTGCAGCTCCCAACCTCTGCTGGTGCAGATCCCCTGGGATCCTTTTTTGTTGGGTATCACGGGTCCATTGGTGTCCAGAATCGCTCGCTCTGGCAGCTCTGCCTCTTCCTGGAGCTTGCTCCTGTGGTCTGCTCTTCCTCCTGCTGCCAGTGGGATTGAAAAACTTCTCCAGTTGCTGAATGTTCCTCCTCAGTGCACTGTTTATGCAAGCCTTATGTAAGCCATTGCACACTCTCATTTCTCCCGGCTCGTAGAGATTTAGCCCTGATTTATTCCCCCCTTCCCCGCCCTAAGAGAATCAGAGTGTTAAATAAAATCCAGTTTCGAGGTGCCGCATCTTTTGCTTAACCAGGGGGGGATTTTTTTGTTTGTGTTGCTGACCTGCAGGGCGATGTTCACGGGCGGGATGAGAGAAGCCAGCCAGGACGTGATCGAGCTCAAAGGCGTGTCTGCCAAGGGCCTGAAGCACATCATCGACTTCGCCTACAGCGCCGAGGTCACTCTGGACCTCGACTGCATCCAGGACGTGCTGGGAGCCGCCGTCTTCCTGCAGATGGTGCCGGTGGTGGAGCTGTGCGAGGAGTTCCTCAAGTCCGCCATGAGCGTGGAGACGTGCCTCAACATCGGCCAGATGGCCACCACCTTCAGCCTGGCCTCCCTCAAGGAATCCGTGGACGCCTTCACCTTCAGGCACTTCCTGCAGATCTCCGAGGAGGAGGATTTCCTGCACCTGCCCCTGGAGCGCCTGGTGTTCTTCCTGCAGAGCAACAAGCTCAAGAGCTGCAGCGAGATCGAGCTGTTCCGCGCCGCCGTGCGCTGGCTGCAGTTCGACCCCGCGCGCCGCGCCAGCGCCAGCCAGGTGCTCTGCCACATCCGCTTCCCGCTGATGAAGTCCTCGGAGCTGGTGGACAGCGTGCAGACCCTGGACATCATGGTGGAGGACGTGCTGTGCCGCCAGTACCTGCTGGAGGCCTTCAACTACCAGATCCTGCCCTTCCGGCAGCACGAGATGCAGTCCCCGCGTACGGCCATCCGCTCGGACGCGCTGTCCCTCGTCACCTTCGGCGGCACGCCCTACACCGACAACGACCGCACCGTCAGCCCCAAGGTCTTCTGCCTGCCCGACGCCGGCGGCCGCCAGTTCCGCGAGCTGACCGAGATGGAGGTGGGCAGCAGCCACTCCTGCGTGGCCGTGCTGGACAACTTCGTCTACCTGGTGGGAGGGCAGCAGCTGCAGTACCGCAGCGGGGAGGGCGCCGTGGACGTCTCCTACCGCTACGACCCCCACCTCAACCAGTGGCTGCGCATCCAGGCCATGCAGGAGAGCAGGATCCAGTTCCAGCTCAACGTCCTGCGCGGCATGGTTTACGCCACGGGCGGCCGCAACCGCTCGGGCAGCCTGGCCTCGGTGGAGAAGTACTGCCCCAAGGACAACGAGTGGACCTACGTGTGCTCCCTGAAGCGCAGGACGTGGGGCCACGCCGGGGCCACGGCGGGGGACAAGCTGTACATCTCGGGGGGCTACGGGATCTCCGTGGAGGACAAGAAGGCCCTGCACTGCTACGACCCCGCCGCCGACCAGTGGGAGTTCAAGACGCCCATGAACGAGCCCAGGGTGCTGCACGCCATGGTCAGCGCCAACGGCAGGATTTACGCCCTGGGAGGCCGCATGGACCACGTGGATCGCTGTTTCGACGTCCTGGCCGTGGAATATTACGTCCCCGAGACGGACCAGTGGACCACGGTGAGCCCGATGCGCACGGGGCAGTCGGAGGCCGGCTGCTGCCTCCTGGAAAGAAAGATTTACATCGTGGGGGGCTACAACTGGCACCTGAACAACGTCACCAGCATCGTGCAGGTCTACAACACGGAGACGGACGAGTGGGAGAGGGACTTGCACTTCCCAGAGTCTTTTGCTGGCATCGCCTGTGCCCCCGTCATCCTCCCGCAGGTGACGAGCCAGAGGTGACTCTGGGGGGACAAAACAGCTCCAGAGCGTTCCTCCTCCTGCTGGGGAGCGCTGGCAAGCCAGTTCCAGCAGCAGCACTTGTCAGCCAGGCAGACTGAGCGGATGTTCCAGCTGGGAAGAGCTTTTCTCTCCTCTCCGTCCCTCTCTTTTTTTTGGTGGGGGGTGCGTTTTGCCAACTTTCCGTGTTTTTAACGGCGCCGCGCACTGCAAACATCGGCAGCTCAGGAGTCACTCAGCACTGGGGTCTTGTTTCCAAGAGATCAGGTGAGGGTGTTTTTATCAATAGCTCCAAAAATAAAAATCATCCTGCGTCACTTTGTTGGTTTTTTAGCAAACAACAAACAAAAAAAAACCAAAAAAAACAAAACCTGTGTAACAGGCTGACCTCCAGAAGCAATAAAAGGACAGTGGGAGCTACAAGAGCTCAGGTGCTTGGATTGGGAAAGCAGATCCCTGTTTTTCAAAGGTGACATTTCCTTTTTTTTTCCCTTCCTGAACAAGGGAATATTTATCCCTGCACACCTCTGGTCTTCACTGCTTGGATCACGCTGCAATTCCTCGCCCCCTCCAGCTCCCCTAGTGCAGAATTTCTCCCTTAATTGGGGCGTGCAGAGTTTGCAGCACTAAAGCCATGGTGAAAGCTTGATTATATATAAACAGGCATGATGATTTGGGTTTAGAAGTGCCAAAAATTTGGCTGCCCTGGCAATAAGAGCTCTGCAGTCGTCCATCAGCGAAGCCAAGAGCTCCTGCAGATTCTGGGTCAGGATTTTCACCTTTCCCAACACCTTCATCCCAACTCTTCCTCCAGTAAAGGAGGTGGGTGCTACTCCTTCAGCAGCTGGGAGGTTTTCTTCCCTGCCACGTGAAAGAGCTGCTTGGCATCCCAAAATGATGGGAGTCCCCGTGGAATGTGGTTTTGTTGTTGTGGTGGTATTTTAAATTAAGAGGCTGGTTTATGATGGCTCTGTCATTTTTGTAAAATCTTCGCTGCACAGAACACTTCCTGAACTTTCCTCTCCTCCAAGCCATTTTCCTTATTTAATTTGATGAATGAATTGCAAAAATCTCTGCTTCTATCAGGAGTTCTGTTTCCAAGGGCTTTGTTTTGTATCTGTGTCAGCTTGATTTGGATGCACACGGTCTCCTTTTGTAGAGAAGCTGTTGCATTCTGCTCTGAAATAAATCCTGCGCTGCAACCTTTAGTGACAACTCCTGGTGTCTGGTGTGCTGGTGAGTCCTTGAGAGGTCTGTGTGCAGCATGAGCTCCTCACCCCAGAGATTTCTCTGGAATCCATGGGATCAGAGCACCTCCGGGTGAGGATGCAGGGCGCTCGCATTCTGAATTTCAGATGAAAGCCGTGCAGAATTTCCTCTGCTCCTCTCCGTTTGCTGCTTTGCCAAGAACAAATGGATGGAAAGGAGGTGTTGCTGTGTGGAATGCTGCACTTGGAGGCTCTCAGGCACTTCATTGACTCCTTTTCTCTGTTCCTCTGGCCTGGCCTGGCCGCCAGAAACGCCCGGGACGGGCTTGGCAGAGGCAGGAGATGCTGAGAGGATGAGCTGGAACTCAGTTCAAGCTCCACAGTTCCCAAAGAATGGATTTTCCTTGTTGAATGGTTCCACATGTGCATAAAAGTGGTATTTCTCAGGTTGGTAACAAACGGAGGTGTTCCTGCCTTTCCTGTGTGCGGGATCTGCTCAGTGCCCCTCCGAGGGACAGAGAGGGGCTTGGGGTGGGGTATTTGGGATAAATCCTTCCCTGGCAGGGTGGGCAGCCCTGGCACAGGTGCCCAGAGGATCCCTGGCAGTGCCCAAGGCCAGGCTGGAGCCACCTGGGACAGTGGGAGGCGTCCCCCTGGCAGGGCTGGCCCTGGGTGGGGTTTAAGGTCCCTCCCAGCCCAAACCACTCTGCAATTCCATGATTTTACAGCACTTAAATATTCCTCCCTGGTTTATTTGCATTTTCCCCGATTCCTGGGGCAGCAGTGGATGGTTTGGCTGCTCTCATCCCTGAGTTTTTCTGGATGTGCAGCCGTGGTTCCCATCCCACACACGCCCCGAGAGCCACGTGGAGCCCATCCCTGGAATCTCCTCCTGAGGAAACCAAACTTTATTTTTTGTTTTTCCCTTCTGCCTTCTCAGGTAGGTGTGTGTGTGCGTTGGGGGAAAGGGGAAAGTCCTTGGAAAACATGGGAAAACCTGTTTGGTCTCACTTTTAAGGACAACCTTGCAAAAATAAATGTCATCCAGCGTTCACTCCTGTTGGAAGCGTCGTTTTGCAGACAGGAGGATGCACAAAGCCCTTCTGGAATTCTATTTATTAAACAATTGCCTGCCATGAAGCAAAGCTAACCTGGGGTTGCCATTCCTATTCCCTGGCACTGAGGAGCAGGAGCTGGGAAAGAATCTGGAGGTCTCTGGATCAGAGCACCGCAGCTCTTTGTTGCTGGAATGTTCTTTTTATAGCAATGTAAATAATTATTTCTCATCAAAAGAGCTGGAAGTCTTCTGGCCGCTCTAAATTTAGCAGAGACTCAAATATTTGTGGACCATAAATATTTTGGATCATAAATTTTGCTTGACCCCTGTGCAGGGGATGGAGCTGTGGCTCTGGGCTGGGCACAACCTCTCTGATATTCTGACAATAAATGAGTTTGGTGCTTTTGGTGCACTCAATAATTGCTGGTTTCAGGAGGGTTTTCCCATCCATACGGATGGGATTGTGTGGAAACATTTCCCAGGATGCCCCACATGGAAAGGAGGTGGATTGGGCTCCTCTTTTCCTGAGGCATGAGCGAAGCCAGATAAATGTTTGATTGCCCTCAGAGTCCTTTATGGGTCTCGGAGCAGCCATAAAAACCCTGGGGGCGAATTGGGTAAATTTGGAAATGCCCCTGAGCAGATGGGGAGCGGGAGGAGCTGGAGCATCATTAGCACAGAGCCCGTGTGTCCCTCCAGAGGCTCCTGTCAGGCCTGGGATAATAACTCCTGTCTCCTCTGATGTTTTATGGGCCTGAAATTGTGCTTAAAACTATAAAGGCAGCCCTGGGAGTCTTGGCAGGGTGCAGAGCAGCGAGAGATGGGGAATGTCTGCATCCCATTAATGGTGTCACTGACCCTTTTCCAGAGGCTCTGCCTGCTCCCAATCCCACTGTCACTTCCCCCTAGCCCGGAGCCCGGATAATTCGCTCCGACGTGCCTGCAGCCCGGGAAGGTTTCTACAGCACTGGAAAAACGTCGGAATCTTTGATTCAGACAGAGCCAGGCGCTCCCAGCAGCTCCCAGTTAGCCTGGTGCTGCCTTGGAGTGCTGCTGTGGGAGCCACATCAAACCCGGGCAGAAATTCCCACTTCCACGGCTGTGATAAGGGCTGGAGCTGCCGAAACTCCACAAACTTTCGGGACGTTTATCACGGCAGGATTATTGGAGCCAGACTACTGTCAGGATAAATAAAACATGTTCCCCAGTGCAGCTCTAATTATGATTTTTAGCCAGTTGTGTAATGTGCAGAACTTTATTTACAATAAATCTTCCAGTTGCTCGCACAAATGAATGGGATTTCATCACTCGTGGCTGAAGGAGCAGGAAAAGTGGATGTGGCTGGAGAAATTCACAGTTTGGGGGTGTTGGCAGGTCGGGAGAGGGAGGGAGCAGAGCTCTGGCCTGCCAGGGAGGGCTCGGCTCTCCTGGGTTCCACCTGGTGTCAGAATCTGAGGTATTGATGATTTTGAGATTGTAAAAGTCTCTGTCTGTCAGCCCCACTGCCAAAGCAGAGCCATAATTGGTCTGTGCTGGTTTCAAGGTTGTTTATTCTGTTTATCTCTAACATGTTCTGCTGCCCTGCCGCAGCTCTGTCCTGCAGGGCAGCGTGTGGGGCTCTGCCCTCAGTGGGATGGTACAAACATTAAATACCAGAAACTACCTGTGCTGGATTTACAATAACGTGCCAATATCTGTCACCTACGTTGGACAGTGTGTCCCCAGCCTGAACCAACAGAAAAATGCCAACACCACAGTGAAACATGGAGGGCATGAAGAAGGAGAGAAAGGACAAGACACACCCAATTTCCTCCATCTTGTCCCCTTTGGACCCCTAATCTAGAACCCTAAAATTTTACTTTTGCACCCATGCCACACTTAATTATTACTGATATCAAACACTCAGAGCTGGTAATTGATCCTGTAAGATTGAAAACTCTTTTCCATGGACAGAGATCACAGCCAGTGTCTCTGGGGGCTCTGTCCAGGGGGGTTCCTGACCCCTGCCAGGGTCCCAGACCTGCCAGGGCAGCCAGAGGGAAGCTCTGGATTCCCACAGCCTGGGAGCACAGAACTCTCCCCCAACCACCCCCGAGGTGTTCTGTGCTCCTCAGCTCTGAGTGGGCACAGCAGCATCCCACGGATGCAGAACTTTTGTTTCTCCTTCCCAACTCCTCACTCAGCTCCAGCAGCAGCCGCTTCTTCTTTTTTGGCACTCCTCAGTTTGATAACTCCGCTCCAGGGAGAAGTTCCAGCTTTTATTTGTGGGGCAGGTACGTTTCTGATTGCTCCAACCCTGAGGATTCCAGAAAACAAAGGCAAAATGGGCTTTTCTGCAGGGAAACAGCTGCTGGTCGAGCTGTGCCACCCGAAATCAGCCTCAGAGCTTCAGGAAAAGGGTGAGGAGGAAGAGGAGGGTGACGCTTCCCACCCCTGGAGTGTCCAAGGCCAGGTTGGAGGGGGTTTCAACAACCTGGGGGAGTGGAAGGTGCCCCCCAAGATGATCTTTTCCCAACCCACACCACTCTGGGATCCTCTGAAAGCAGAAAAGCTGCTGGGGCAAATGTTTTCAGGAGGTTTTACAAGCTGGAGAGAGAAATCAAAAGCTTCTTGGCCGGGTCCCTGAGGCTTTGCAGTTGCTCTTTCACACCCAGGCCCCTGTAATTAGCTCGAACTGGTTTATATGGCTTCTTAAGAAATGAAAATCTCTTTTTTTTGGGGTTGTTTGTGCAGGCCACCAGCCCAGGCCTTTGAAGTCACCGGGCTCGCACCACACTGGAGCACCTAAAGCAGAAAGGATCCTTTAATATATTTCATCTTTTTTTTTGATCATCCGGGTCCCAGCGCTTTGCAAACTGCACTAAAAGTTATTTTCCATGTGGTTAAGTGATGTTTGTAACCAGGCTGCTAATCTGGGCCTGCCCACAGAGCTGCAATTATTGAGCCTGAAATGCAAAGTTCTTTTCCCCCCTCTGCTGTGGCCTGGGGTGGTGTTTGGTCCTCCTGAGGATGCAGAGCAGGATCGATGCTGCCTCCAGGAGCTGCTCTCCAGCCGCATTTCCCGGGAATGTTTGAATTTGGCCCAGGTTTGCAGGGGAGAAGCTTGCCCCGGGGTGCAGGCAGTGTGCATCCCGGGAATGATCCCTGAAAACCTGGAATGATCCCTAGATCCCTGGAATTGATCCCTGCATCCCGGGAATGATCCCTGCAAACCTGGAATGATCCCTCCATGCTGGGAATGATCCCTGCAAACCTGGAATGATCCCTAGATCCCTGGAATTGATCCCTGCATCCCAGGAATGCTCCCTCCATCCCTGGAATGATCCCTAGATCCCTGGAATTGATCCCTGCATCCCGGGAATGATCCCTGCATCCCAGGAATGATCTCTGCATCCCTGGAATGCTCCCTGCATCCCGAGAACAAGCCCTGCATCCCGTGTGGAACAAAGCCAGGCCCGATTCTGGGAAAAGGCACCAGGAGCAGAACCCTCGGCGTGGCTGCCAAAGCCTCCCCGGGCAGCAGAAAGGGCCGAGGTGTGGAAATGGGAATTCATTTCTCTCAGCAGTCCCCTTTGCTCGGCTTTCTGAAATGTTCGGATTTCCAGGGAATGGTGGAGGAGCGGAGCTGGAAGGGTGCCAAGGGAATATTGGTGCAGGGAGCCGAGCCAGCCTTCTGCTGGGCTCTTGGAGGGGAGAGTGCTTCAGGTGCTTTTATTTGCCCTCTGGAAGCACGGACATCTCAAATTAAAGAAATTTTCACCAGTTCCAAGTGAAACAAGAGAATGTTTTCCTGCTCCGAGCACGGTTCAAAATAACTGGGGACTCTGAGGATATTCTTCTCCGAGGATAATGGGAATGTCAACAGGAACATTAAGTAGGAAGTGTGAAAGATCAAAATCTTTGTGTCTGCAGGCAAAATAAAATAAAATAAAATAAAATAAAGAACCGCCAGCTCGTTTGAGGATCGCAGCACACCCTGGTGCTGTGCGAGCCCCTCAGCCTCCCACCTTGCTGGGAAAGCTCCGAGGGGCTGGAATTTTGGAATTGTCTGCAGGGGGTTCTGGGGGATAAAACCCAGCGAGAGCAGCGCGGAGCAGCTCCTCGGGGCTGGAATTTTGGAATTGTCTGCAGGGGGTTCTGGGGGAATAAAACCCAGCGGGAACAGCGCGGAGCAGCTCCTCCTGCAGCACCCCGGCTCCGGGAGGGTTTCTGGCAGCCCCGGAGTCTCCGGTACCAAAATCTCTCCCCAAATTCGGCTGCAAGGAGCCGGAGCCGCCGCCCGGAGGATCCCCGGGAGGGTTTCTGGGGGAGATGGGGCAGTTCTGGGGGATGGAGCTGGGTGAGGTGGGGCAGTTTTGGGGGAATGGGGCATTTCTGGGGGAATGGGGCAGTTCAGGTGGAATGGAGCTGGGTGAGGTGGGGCAGTTCGGGTGAGGTGGGGCAGTTTAGGGGGAATGGGGCAGTTCAGGTGAGGTGGGGCAGTTCTGGAGGGATGGGGCAGTTCAGGTGAGAGGGGGCAGCTCACTTCAGGGGATACAGGGCTCAGAGCTGGAAGGAAGCTGGATTTTGTCCCAGATGTGCTGGAGGTGAGGCAGAAATGACCCTGGGGCCGAGAGCTCGTGGCCCTGTCCAAGGAATGGCAGAATTCCCCCGGGGACAGGAGGAAACCCCCAGAGCCTCTCCCTGGCCTCACCCAGACCTGCAGGGCAGCAGCCCCCAGAGTCACCCCAAAACCTGTGGGTCCGAGTGCCTGGGATGTTCCCCAGAGTGACCCCAAAACCCGGGGCTGTGAGTGCCCGGGATGTTCCAGCAGCCCCCAGAGCCACCCCAAAACCCGGGGCTGCGAGTGCCTGGGATGTTCCAGCAGCCCCCAGAGCCACCCCAAAACCCGGGGCTGCGAGTGCCCGGGATGTTCCAGCAGCCCCCAGAGCCACCCCAAAACCCGGGGTTCCAAGTGCCTGGGATGTTCCGGCAGCCCCAAGTTGGAGAAGTTTGTGCTGCAAACCCGGCTAAAACGCGGGGATTTCAGGAAGCGGCTCCAGGTTCAGGCTGGAATTCGATCTGATAAAGCTGCGCAGGGAAACAATGGGAATGAAGGGAGGTTTTTAGGGGAGGAAGCTGCAGCCCCCTCCCCTTGCCCCCCTGGCCATCTGCGTTCCTTCCCGGGGAGCAGGAGGGGAGATCCCATCTCAGGAGATGCAGAAGGGGAGAATTTATCAAGCTCCATCTCAGGCACTTCATCCCGCAGGCGGGAGCAGAGGCAGAGTGGCAGCTGGGCTGGAGATGGTTGATATCACCACCTTCGGGATGAAATCCAGGACAGCCGCACCAATTATTTATCATTGTCCCGCTCCTCGAGTGAAAACAATGTGGATAATCAGTATCTCCCCGGTCAATCTCGGTGATTGATGGGCTTTTAGCATGACAGGCCAATTTTGCAGGTCATGCGCTGCTCGTGTGCGCAGCCAGAGGGGATTTTAGGGAAAATGGTGTTTATTCCTGGTGGGAAAGGCGAGGAAGGGCTCGGAGCAACATCTGCCAGGAGGGAGGGAGGGAGGGCTGGTCCTGCCAGGTCTGGATGAGCTTCCCGAGATGGTATCTCGGCATCTCAGCTCGCTGGAAATGTTAAGTGCAAGCTGGCAGCCAGGATTTAGGGCAGGACGTGACTTTGGGGCTAATCCTGAGCCCGGGATGAGGACTGGGCCATCCATCAGCGGGAGAACTGTGGGACCCGGCGGGAAATGCTGAGAAATAAGTGGGAAAGTGGCGGGTCCGGGGTGGGGACCGCACTGGGGACACGCTGGGGACTTTCTAAGCACGGGGACCCGTTTAGGAAGGAGTTTATTCTGCACAGGTTTGGGTTTTTTTGGGGTTTTTTTTGGTTTTTTTTGCACAAATCAAACCCGAGGAGTTTCAAACCTCCACACTGCGAGTAATTTTAGCAAACAAAGAAATCGCAGTTCCTTGGCTACAAGTTACCGGATTCTTTATTAATTAATGCTCTAAATTCCACCTGTTAATCGATTCTCTCTCTTCTCATGTTAATTAGTCCTCAGGCTCAGCTTTTCTCTTCCTCGGTGCGGGTTTTCGCTCCTGATCCCCCCGTGCCCGAGGCTGCGGACTGGCACCGAGCCCGGGCATGACAAAGGGCACGGGGACCGTGGGGACAGCAGGGGACAGCAGGAGGTGACAACTGCCCAGGAAGAGCCCCGAGCACGCGATGAAAGCCCGGCTGGTGCTTTTGTGCTCCCTGATAAGGATCCCTGATAAGGCAGGACCCCGTTCCCAAACCCTGCTCATTAGCTGGGGAATTGTTAATTATTCAATCCCGGGGCAGACCCGAGCTCGGCTCTGTCCCTCCCTTGGGGCAGGCGGCACCACCCCGGTTCTCACAATGCTGGAGGCATCAAACAGAAATAAATCAGGGCGTGAAGGGGGCTCAGGGTGGCTTTTTGCAGTTCCAGGTGATTTTTGCACGAAATCCTGACAAGCCAAGCCGGGCACCTCCCGGGTTCCCTCATTCCAGTGAAGGGGGAGCAGCACTGAAGGATTTTCCAGCAGGAGAGCGAGCGGCCACCACGGAGGGACCGGGACAGGGACAGAGGGACAGGGAGGGGACAGAGAGGGACCGGGATGGGGACCGGGACCGGAATGGGGACCCGGGATCGTGACAGGTGATGGGGACAGGGACGGGGACAGGGATGGGGACAGGAACAAGGTCCGGGATCGGGACTAGGACAAACACAAGAATAGGGGCAGGGACGGGGATCGGGGCCAGGACCGGGATGGGACCAGGACCAGGACAGAACCGGGATGGGGCCAAGACCGGGATCGGGGCCAGGACCGAGACCGGACCAGGATCAGGACAGGACCAGGATCGGGATGGGGCCAGGATCGGGATCAGAACCGGGATCAGGACAGGACCAGGACCAGGACCGGGATCAGAACCGGGACCGGGATCAGAACCGGGATCAGGACAGGACCAGGACCAGGACAGGGATCGGGATCAGGACAGGACCAGGACCGGGACCGGGACCGGGACCGGGATCAGAACTGGGATCGGGATCAGAACCGGGATAAGGACCGGACCGGGACCGGTTCCGGGATCAGAACCGGGACCAGGACAGGACCGGGACCGGGATCAGAACCAGGACCAGAACCGGGACCAGGACCGGGATCAGAACCGGGACCAGGACAGGACCGGGACCAGGACCGGGTCCGGGATCAGAACCGGGTCCGGGATCAGAACCGGGATCAGAACCGGGATCAGAACCGGGACCAGGACAGGACCGGGACCGGGATCAGAACCGGGATCAGAAACGGGATCGGGATCAGAACCGGGATCAGAACCGGGATCAGAACCGGGACCGGGACAGGACCGGGCCCAGTTCCGGGCCCCGCGCGCGCTCCCGCCCCGGGGGAAGTCCCTCCCCGCGCACGCGCGCGCGCCCCCGCCCGCGCCGTCCCTCCCGCGCGCGCCCGGCCGCGCGCATGCGCAACCTCCGCCCCCTCACCGCCCCCTCCCGCCCCGCCGCCGCCGCCGCGCAGGCGCCCTGCGGCCGCCCCCCCTCCCCGCGCCGGCGCATGCGCGCCGCCCCCCCTCGGCCGCGGGGAGGGGGATGCGGACGGGGGAAGATGGCGGCCTCGAACAACCCGCGGAAATTCAGCGAGAAGATCGCGCTGCACAACCAGAAGCAGGCGGAGGAGACGGCGGCCTTCGAGGAGGTCATGAAGGACCTGAGCCTGACCCGCGCGCACCGGGTGAGCCTCGGCGCCGCCGCCCCCGGCTGAGGCGGGCGGGGGGTGTGAGGGGCGGCGCCCCCCCCGCGGAGCCCCTCGGGCCGGGGGCAGCGGCGGCGGCGGCGGGCGGGGCGGGCAGCGCCCCCTGGCGGGGGCGGGCGGCGCCCGCCGTGGGCACCGGAGGGGAGCGGGGGGGGAGGCCCCTCAGCCCCCCCATCACGGCCCCCGTTCCACCCCCCACCCCCGGTTCCGCCGCACCGGGCCCGGCCCGCGCCGCCCACCGCGCCCGCAGCATCCTCCGGAGACCGACACCTGCCGCGGGGGGAGGCCCCGGTGCCCCCGCCGCAGGGTCGGGGAGCGGGCCCGGCGGGGCGCGGGCAGCGCCGTGCGCCCTGCCCGGGGGCTGAGGAGGGTCCCGGTGCGGGCACCGGGACAGGCCCCAGCCCGGGGCCGCGGGCATCCCGGATGCCTTTGCTCTCTGAGCGGAGATCCCAGTTGCATCAGCCTGGGACGGGCCCGGCTCTGACGGGGATCCCGGTTCCGCCAGCCCCGCACGGGGCATCCCCAGCTCGCAGCCCCGAGCCGGTGTCGCGGGTTCCGGGCTGGGGTCCCCCCGAGCATCCCCCGCAGCTCCGGGAGCGCGCACGGAGCCGCCGCGGGCGCAGCTGCCGCGCTCGCCGTGCCCGGTGTTGTTCCCGTTACGCTCCGGTTGTCGTAGGTGCAAATTGCTGCGCTTCCAAAGCCTCCCTTGGCTGCTGGTGTCTCTGCAAAGCCCATGGGCAGAGATTCCCGGCAGGACCGGTGCGCGCTCCGGGCACGAGATGCCGTTCCCGGTCCGGATTCGGGGATGTCGGGGCTGTCCTGTTCTTGTCTCACCTGCTCGTGTCAGTGTTTTGTTTTTAACTGCTAAGAGAAAATTTACGAGCCTGTTTGCGGCGGAAGCTTTGCAAGAACAACACAACACACGGTTGGATTTGCAGGAAAAGGTTCCCTTTTATTCCTCTGTTCAGGAGAGGGTAAATATTTGTTTTGAATTGGTGTTCTGCTGGTTGGATGGAAAGGAAAGGCACCTGCCTGGGAAGGTGTGGGGCTGGAGCTGGTGCTCACCTGGGTGTTGGATGTTCCTGCTGGAGTTAGTTGGCACCAGAGTGAGGATAATTTGGAGGTGTTTGTAGGCACTGGAATCATCTTGTGTGGCTCAGTATCCTGGGGTTTTGCCTCCAGTGGTCAGTCCTTGCTGCCACTCCAGAGCTGGGTGTTCCTCAGGGAGTTTTTGCAATCTGAATTACAGGCTGGCCTTCAGTTAACTCACACGCTGAGCTCTCGCCTTCTGCAGGAGGAGTCAGAATCCAGATTAATTTCTCCTGAACCCCATCTCAGTTTCTCCCAAATCTGAGCATTGCTAACCCAGGTTTCGCTCTTGGAAACACATCACACTTTCAAGAACCTGGTTTTGAGGAAAGAACCCAAGATGAATAACTTTTCTGAGCATTCTGGGTACTGAAGTGATGGAAACAGTGACCAGAGAGCTGAGTAAAATGTCTCCTTTGTAGACTTTTCTTTCAAATTCCATGATTTCATCGGGGTTTAAAATGCAGCATAAAAGCAAAAAAGGGTTAAGCACAACTTTGCTGTTTGCTCTCATTTTCATTTGGCAAGCAGCACGTTGCTGTCAGTTTGAAAACGCCTTACTCAGTTGGTGGAAGCAGCCCAGAATTTCTGTTGCCTTTTCATTATTAGTAATTGTCTTTTTGCAATGTTTACCATCTTGTCTGCTTTATTGTTGGTTACTGCTCAGAGCAGAGGCAGAAATTCTGAACTTCCTTTCTGCCACGGTCATCTTCCACCCATTTATGATGTTGGATCCATGTGGGATTTTTAAGTTCTGATCCACCTTTACTACCCTCACCAAAATAAACCCAAAAATCATCGGAGAAAGACTCGGCTTTGTTTTGCAGAGGGTTTCCCTGGAGCGTGGAGCAGCAGAGCTGGGTTTCAGCTGGCAGGGTGGATTTTTGGCCTTTCAGCTCTGCTGGGAGGCGCAGACCTTGGCAGAGCGGAGGTGGGTGCTCGATGGAAGCTCTGGAGCTGCTTAATTGTCTTGTGAGTGGGACCTTGGTGTTCAGAATCCAGAGCTGTCTGCCAGTCCCATAGTAACAAAGTGGGTGAGGACAGCACAGGGGGAGTTAGGATTTTTTTCTCTGTGACATTAACTCCTGTTTTTTGTTTGTGGCTCTGCTCCTTCCCCTTTTTTTTTTTTTTTTTTTCTCTGTGAGGTTTGGAATTTCAGGACTGCTCTGATTTCTGGGCTTGTTTACCAGGGCTTGTCTCGATTTCTCAGCCCAGGGATGCTTTGATGCAGCTATTTACTCATCCAAGGTTGTAATTTTTGCATGAAATCCTGATAAACCAAGTCCTTTCAAATTGTAATTAACCAAAAAATTAACATGCAGATACTGCTGAGCCCTTCAATATGCGACTCTTGAAATGGTAAAAAAAATGTAAGATTTTTAATTTGTGACCTGCATTTTAAGGGTTGTTCTCGTTGGAGATTTTCTCAAGTTTCCAAGATTGCTTTTTAAAATTTTAATATTCACTTAAAGTCACTTAATTTTAAGGGCTTTCAGCCAGAGCTGTGTTTGAGCTCCCTCTGATGGGCCCTGCAATCTTACCTTGATAAAAAAGACCCCTCAACCTCCAAAAAGCTGCCCGTGGGTGCTGTCTCCCAGCCCCACCTGCCCTGGAACAAACCCAGGGAATTAAATCCAGGTTAATGGTGGTGTTTGGAAACATTGTGCAAATTTTCATCACCCTCTGCTTGTGTATTTTTAGGTGTTATCCAAAGTTCTGCGTGGCTTTTGTTGAGTTCCTGAAAACTATGTGAAGTAAAAAGCCAGTGTTTATATTTTAAACCTGGCTAATTTTAATACAAAATCTCGTTGTAGTTTAATTTTGTCAAGTGGAGTATGTTGTAATAACATCGATTTGATTTTTATTTGAAATAAAAATGAAGTAGAACCCCACAGTTTGTGATGGAGTGTGTAAAACCCACACACGTCCCCCTGCCACAAAATTTGTACTTAAAAATGAGGCACTCAGTGGTTTTCTGGTTCCTGTAGAAGAGATGAAAATGTCTCTTTGTACATCCCCAGCTCAGAGTTGGATGTAGATAATATGCAAAACAGTATTTAAAAGCTTAGTTAAATCAGGAATGCTAATCTGCTTTTAAAAATGAGAAGCACTAATGATGATGATGATGATGATACAGAGCTGCAGCGGTTCCTGATGGCTTCAGCAGGTTTTTATTAAATAATGTGATACAAAAGAAATTCCTGGTGACGTAAGAGTGCTTTTGAATGTCTGAGAGATATTAAAGAAATGCATCAAAACCAGGACTGAGCCCTCCTAGCACAGAGACTGATGCTTCCAGCTGGCAGCTCGGCTTAGAAGTGAGTTCTCACAAACACAAATGGGAGTTTTTCAAGCTCTAGAGGGTATTTTTTTCTTCATTAACTTTCCCAAAGTTTCCACCCTGAGTTTGCACATTTCCAGACCAAGAAGGGGGTGGCTTGGGCTTCACCTGTGCTCCCCACTGGTGTGATGAATTTCCTCCTCTGATGCATCCCAGGCTCACTGAGGCTGGAAAAGCCCTCCCAGCCCAACCTGTGCCCGTCCCCAGCTTGTGCCACCTCCAGGCCTGGGACTCCCAGCCCCCCTGAGCACCCTTTCCTTGCAGGAATTCCTGCTGCCAACACCTGGGCACCTTTTCCTTGCAGGAATTCCTGCTGCCAACACCTGAGCACCTTTTCCTTACAGGAATTCCTGCTCCTAACACCTGAGCGCCTTTTCCTTGCAGGAATTCCTGCTGCTGTCCAGCCTGCCAAGCCTGAGGCTGTTCCTCCTGTCCTGGGAGCCTCGTGGCCACCACGGAGCAGGACCCCAAGCAAAGCAGAGTTTGGAGCCCACAGAGGTGCTCCAGGTGCCTCCACCTCGGGCTGTGGCATCCCAGGCTGGCTGAGCCAGCAGTGCCCTTCATTCTTTGAAAGAATGTTTGTAAATCAGCAGGGTGAGAGGAGAGGGGACCTGCCAGGGCACAAAGAATCTCTGTTCTTGTGCAACCCTTGGCTTCCCTCAGCCTGCCTGAGCTGTCCAAGGTAAACACAGAGCTCTGCTGTGCCATCCTGGGAAACTGCACTCAGCAGGACAAGTTTTCTTCTGGCAAACCCAGGCAGCTTTTGTTGGATTTTTTTTTTTGTATTTTTTTTTTAAGGAGACAATGACTTTTTTACTGATTGTCCCATCACTCCCACACAGCACAGCTGCTGTTGGACAAAGTCTTGCTGTGTGCAGTGGCCAAATCCCTGGGTGTTAATGATGTAGCAAGGCTGGGAAGGCTCTGGGAGCACGTGAGGCTGGATTGTACAACTGCTGCATTTTGGGTGTTTGGTTGTAATTCTCAGGGTGAACATGTGGGACTCAGCTCCGGCTGCTGCGCTTGGGTTTTATTTAGCATCAGCACTGGGTGGTAATTTGCATTTATAGAAGGTGCTCATTTAGGAAGAGAATTTGTTCTCGAGGTGAGGTACAGTCAGTTCTCCCAGTTCTGTGGGGTTGATTTGGGGTTTTCCCCTCAAAACAAGCTGCAGAGGGGAGCTGAGCTTGTGGTCACACTGCAAGGGGGAGGTGTGGATTCTGAATCTCTTGGTTTACCAGGCAGAAATTGAAATTTGTGGTGCAGGCTTTGAGTTCCAGCTGGGAGTGTAGAAGTGCCCGAGGGGGACAGGAGGGGCTGGTGCTGAGTTAATCTGAGTTCTGTGCTGGCCCGGGCTGAGGGAGGATCTCTGCCTGAGTAAAACACCACCCACAAAACACAGCCACAGGAACTGTGCCTCGAAGGAGTTTTCAAGAGTATTTGGTACTGAAAAATGATTGTAGGAGCAGTGTGACCTGAGGGTGAGCTGCCTTCAGGATCTGTGAGGTGAATGGAAAAAGAGCTGTTCCTCCCAGCACAGAGGAGAAGG